CAACCAATTCAGTGGGGGATTAATATGATATTGTGTTATTTTATATGGGTAAGAAATAATATTAGCATATTATAATTTATTTATAATTTAAGGAACTTAATCAATATTAACTTTCTTATAAGGTCCTTTTCTATTATTTTTTGTCATTTTTTGTAATTTTCTAAATCATTTGTTGTAACCTTTTTGCTCAATTAACTGTCAAAACATGGTCAAGGCATTATAGTTATTTGATATTTCAAATTAATGCCAATAAAGGACCTCAATTTGGAATCACTTCCAAGTCCTTTTCAGCAAACTTAAATTTGGTCAGGCTTTTATTAGCAATTTTCCCTATAAATTACCATATTAATAATTAAAAATAAAATAAAATATATGTATATCTTTTTAATAGTACATTATTTGATATGTGTGTATATAGTTAAATCACATATATTTAATTTTGCATATAATAATTGTAGGTGCATTTCAACTCAACTAACAAAGAAGGAAGACTTAAGGCTTTGGAGATGCAGGTCAATGGCACAAATTTTGGCTTTGGCTTTAGAGGTGTTAGGTGATGTGGGATGAGGAGGTGCACACTTAGTAGGTGACATGGCACGAGATAGCTTTTTTTCCTTTGTTTTTTTGCAAAAATAAACTTTTATCATTGCTAAAAGAAAAATTTAACTTTTAGCAATGGCTATGTTTATTATCACAAAAAATTATTAGCAATAAAAGTTTTGGTTGTAACCTTTTGATAGTGAAAAGTCGTCACTAAAAAACTTTACTAGTGACTTTTGGACTTATCACTATTAAAAGTCTTTTTTTTTATAGTGATAGTCTCTAAGCCACATGAGTTGGTCAACCTAGGTAATAGGATTAGAATCCTATAATGTTATCCCATGCTAATGTATCTAGAGCGTAGTGTCACGGGGCTATTCTTTCAACCCGTGTGACACTTAGACAATCTTCACTAAAAATTGCTAAGTAAGCCTAACTTGTATGAAAGGAAGATGCTTGACTAAGTTGAGGAAAGGAAAAACTTGAGGGCAAAGGATACTTGAAAGAGAGCTTGAAGAATGTGAGAGTAATATTGCTTTGAGAACTCAAGGGTTGTTTACAAATGAGGTGGGGTGAGCTATTTATAGTCCTCCCCCTGAAATCTAGAAAGTTTCCACATCCTTACTGGATGGTGGAGATTAAATTGATCCTACAGTTACAATTGATTTTCTAAAATTCTCTCCTAGATATTTACAATAAATATCTAGATATTTACATGGAAATATCTAGTAGCAAATATTGAAATATTAAGACTAGAGTTGTGTAGATTTCTTTAGAAGGTTCTTGCACTCTCTAGCTCTTTTGAGGTTGACCGAGAGCCTTCTGGAGGGTTCTAGAATGTTTCAGAGCTCCTTAACCTCATGGAAAGGCATGAATCATGACATTCTCCCCCACTTAATTTCATGACAACCTCGTCGCGCCTTCCTCCTTATAATGTTGGATTTAGTCAGTGAATTGTCACAGGAGGTCCTCTCGTTCCCAACTAGCTTCAGAGTTTAGTTGACCCTTCCACTTGATTAAGTACTCGGTGTAGTTGGGAACTCCTCTTTTTTTGATCACCCTGTCGGCAAGGATTTCTTCTATCTCCTTGTCGTACTTAGTGACGACCATTGTTAGTGCTCTCTTAGAGATACCTCGAGATGGATCTTCTTCATCTCTGTAGTATTTCTTCAAGAGACTAACATAGATAACAGGATGAATCTTAAGCTTGTGAGGGAGTTGTATCTGATACGCAACCTTTCCCACACGTTTGACGATAGGGAAAGGGCCTTCATATCTCCTGAACAAGCCTTTGTAGACTTTGCGTAGTGACTTGAATTGATTTGGCAGTAACTTTACTATGACCAAGTCACCAACTTAAAACTCAATAGGGTGCCGCTTCTTGTCTGCCCACTTCTTCATTGTATGGGAGGCTTTGTCCAGGCATGCCCGAGTTATGTCGGCTTCTTCTTGCCATTCCTTGATAAACTTGTAGGCAACTGGATTGTCTCCTTTATATGGTGTGGCAAGGGCATTGGGGGTTAAAGGTTGTTGCCAGGTAACTATCTCAAAAGGGCTCTTACCCGTCGACTCGCTTTGCTACAAGTTGTAAAAGAATTGAGCCACATCAAGTAATTTAGCCCAATCTCGTTAATGAGCGCTCACGTAGTGCTGAAGGTAGAGCTCTAACAAAGCATTGATTCGCTTCGTTTGTCCATCGCTCTGAGGATGAAAGTTTGTTGAGATGTTCAAGTTTGTCCCCAGGAGCTTGAAAAGTTCCCCTATAACTTCACAACATGCTTGAAAAACAAGCATGTCGCTTCATCAACTTTGCAATCTGCTGGGGTTGGTATAAAGGTGGCATATTTGCTGAATTTATCAACCACCACCATGATATTGCCACATCCTTCAGACTTAGGGAGAGCAACTATAAAGTTCATTGAAATGCTCTCCCATGGTCTTTCAGCCATCGGTAAAGGTTCGAGTAGACCACCAGGATGTTGTTTTTCAACTTTGTGATGTTGTTATTCATTTAGAAGAGTCAAATATATTTGTGATTCCTAACCATATGATGAAGCGGAACCCCATATGTAAGTCAAATAGTTGAAAGTAGAAAAAGTCTATGTGTATATATGATTATTTGTGGACTTCTCATATATAAGCTTACAGTTGTGTAATGTGGCATTAAGAGATTAAAATGGGAAAATGATATTATGTATGTGATTAAATATATCAATTAGGTGTATAAATCATTTTAGACTTAATTCAAAACTTAAAGCGGTCTAATGGGACAAAGAATGAGAATTGAGTACTTGAGGTATAAATTTTGAAAGAAAAAGTAATTTTTTACACTTAGGCGCCCAATTTTAGATTGGATAGTTAAATTGAGTCTAAACTTATCTCATTAGATAGAATACGTTATAACCTTCGTGTGAGCACTTGAATCACTCTAATCAAATGACGGAGGTGGAAATGGCGCATGGCAAAAATTCATCTTCTAAGCTATCAAATGACAACAGATTTTGCTATCATATATGCCACGGCGTATGGCATAGTAAATAACAGAGCACATTGCTCTACACCATATGCCGCGACGCATGGTCGTGTGAGCCACGGTGCATGGTACTTTTCAAGGGGAATAACATTGTGTTTTATTGATCTTGATAATTGTGTTTACACTTCCATTAGCCCTCTTATTTAAATACATTTTTAAGAAATCAGGATCTCACATTTTGAAAAGAATTCAAGAGCTATTACTTTATTATTATGTTAATGTTGTTTGATAATTGTGTGATAGAAATGGTAAAGTCCAGATTAAGTAAGGGACTTTATATTAGTGCCTATTAAGATGTGATGTTGGATATTGTCTCCTTAATACCCTTGTAGGGTATGGTGTTGGAGATTTGAGGTCCTTCACATTTATATGATACAATGTTAGAGTAACAATACCCCAATTAATGTAATAAGGGGAAATCATAATCTGAAAATAAAATAGAACATCTTTGACAGGGTGATTTTATCACTACAAGTTTGCTCAGGTGAATGAGTATATATTGATCTATTGAGAACCTATGATTTCAAAGGGAGTGATTCTAAGGTTCAAATGCCAGTATCATGTTAATAATAGTGGTGACTTGTTATGAAAATGGCTTTGTGAAGTGATACTTATGTTATATATTATAATATGCAATACTCGCTTATAGTTTACTTGTAATAGTTTAGTAGCAAGTTATTCTGTTACTGAAATTATTCTCACCCCGTGGTTATATTTTTATAAGTCAAAGTAATGAGCTGGGGCAAAGGAAAAGACTCAAAATCAACTTAGCGTGGATAAAGCTGAGAAAATTTAGATTTTGTGTAATGAACCTAATCTCTTGAAAATATTGTAAATGAAAAGTAGCCATAGGGCTTGCCTGCACATTTTAAGTTGTAATTTGTTATGACTTTTTGAGAAATCTTAACCCAATGTATGTGAATGATATGATTGAGGGCTAAAATTTTTTTGTGAATATGTGGTAAATGTGTGGACAAATGGTTTATAGTGCATAAAAGAGGTGATATTGTGTAAAGTTGTGAACAAGCTAGTGAATGGCCAAACTTTGATTTATAAATATATTTGCTATGATTGTTGGTCAATTAGGTATGTTTAGTCCTTTTGCACTTGGCTTAATGAGACTGAGTGTGTGATTTGAACCCTATAAAGCATGAAAATTTAATAAGTGACTTTTTGCACTCGAGTGTCGAAATTTTGATCAAACCATCTACACACTTAGTGACACTTAAATCACTCCAATCGAATGTCATATGCAGAAATGACATACGTTGGAAGTTCGCTTTTACGAACTGGTATTTGATAGTAAAAACTCTATCACGTGCGCCACGGCACATGACATATAAAGGAAAGCTTGTGGCTCTATGCTATATGTTGTGATGTATGTGGTGTAAGCTGCAACGCACAACCCAATTTTTGACCTTGTTTCCATGATTTTAAATCATGACTTGGGTGTGATGAATACATGTGTTTATCTTTCATTATGCATGTTTTGATATGTAGAGATCTTGATTATTTTAAAAAAGAAGTCTTAGATCCCAAGTGCTTTCAAACAAATGAACCTTATTGATATAGATTGGCATATGTGGTGATTTATGTTAACCCCTCCTGATATTAAATGGATATTGGGAGAGGTTACATGACCCAAATGACTTGATTGAGAAAATATTTAGGCCATGTTTGGTATGTAGCATTGAAGGGTTGGGTTTGGCATTGGCATTGAATAAGGCCCAATTTAATGTGTTTGGTATAAAGCACTGGCTCTTACTTAGATTTGCTAAAACCTACTTAGATGGGATTACACAAACCTACCTCCTACCTGGTACTGAAAAATTAAACCTAGGTTTGCAATATTTTATAACAATATTATCCATAGTTATAATATTTCTTGGACAAGAGTGCCCCTGTTGAGTTTTTGCCCTGATAAAAGTCATCAGCATTGCAAACCTCAAGTCAGAACGCATCTCCATCGCCGTCGCAAGAGACTCATCCATGGATCTGCCCTATCACCATCTCCTTTGTCGCACCTTCAGGTATTGTTGCTCCATCCTCCCCCTTCGTCGATCTTCTTCTTCCATCTTCTTCACATCTGGCTTTTCCTTTTCCATATTTTTATTTCTTCATCTTTTTTGCTTGGTTAGCTATTGATGCCTCTGGTTTTGATTTATTTTGCATTTTTCCAGCTAGTCTTGTCTTTATTTGTTATTCTTCATTTTATTTGAGATATGGTTATTTGTAATCTGAGGAAGACTTTCTACTCCATTAGCCACTGCCACATTTATTGATTTACTTTTCCTTTGAGATATTCCAGTTTGTTTACATGCTTATTTTCGGTGACCTCTCCTTCATAAATGATTGTTTGCATGTTTTTATCTGCATAATCTTTAAATTTTTTTGAAATTGTAAGAGCTAAACCCTTTCAAGAATCCTATTACATCTGTCAAGAAAATAGGAATCGATTGTATAAGAAATAATACAAAATGTAATTGAGAGGAAGATATTGCTTACATACCTACTAAATGATCAATGTTAGTCTTGTTCTCTTCGAAATCAGGCAACCTCAATCTCATTTTCTTTAGTCTATGCATCATGAAATTAATAGGTATTCTCTTCATTTATTTAGGCATAAATTCAACTGTGGGTTCAGTGCCTTCTCCTTTCCTCTTTGTATTACTAGTTTAGGATATTATTTTCTATTTTGTAGTTTGTCGAATAAGAGAACTACTACATTTTTTTAATTGTAAGTTCTTTTGCCAACAAATTATAGGGTTAGAAAATCCTTTAGAATAAATTAAGTACTGTCATCTACTCATTATTAAGCACACCTCCATCTTTCCTTTATTATACAAGCAAAATTAATGATTTTTATTCAGATGATTCAATGATCTAATGAATTACGGATAGAAAAACGTTTATTGATTTATTGATTTACTTTTCCTTTGAGATATTCCAGTTTGTTTGCATGCTTATTTCCGATGATCTCTCCTTCATAAATGATTGGATGCTGTAGTTGTAAATTCCATGGTGAACTCCCTGTAAGAATCTGAGTGCATGAAGTAGCTTTCCCAAAAGAAATATGCATTTTTTGAAGCTGAGATTAAATTTTCAAAGCATCAAATATTGTTTAGCTTTGTAATTGTAAGTTGTAACTTACCTCAATTCTAGGGAGCTCCTTTCCCTGAGTTTCTCACACCATTTTCTGGGAAAATATGTCGTTCCTTTCAAAGCTTTCGATTGGTACAGTTATGGCACTATCTGAGGAAAATACGTTAGCTACTTTTTCTTTGTTTTTTGGATTGTGAGTGTCCCTGTTTGATTGAAGACACTTCTTTTAGTGCTTGTAATCTTCAGAATAGCTGAGATGCTAAGCATTATAGACAAAACTGAAAGACGACACATGTTAATGTTACCTATTAATAGTTGATTACTTCATAAATGAGACCAAATAAGAATGATTTGCGTTTGTGATTTTGTTTCATTTTTCCTTTGTAGTTTTCCAACCAAAATATATTTTATAGTTATGTAATACTATTTACTATTCATTTTCAGCAGCTAAATACATTTATTATGATTTTTATTCCATTAATTACTTTTATTCCATTATATATGTTAAATATTAATCTTTTATATATCTGCATAATTGGTACACAATTATGGTACTATCTAAGGAAAAGAGAATACTATTACGTTTGTTTCTCTTCTAGATGAGCATGACTAAGGTAGTGTATGCATTTTATATTTGTATGTGTATGACTATCATGCTAAGGAGATGAAGAATCAGACATATACCTTACAAAATGGATTTTATTGCTAAGAGATCTTACCTAAAGAGAATGATGTCTAGAAGTGATGTAGCATGTTACAACTTACTTAGAATGCATAAATCAACATTTGATAAGTTGTGTTCTATGCTAACAGATGTGAGTGGTCTTAAACCTAGTAAGAACATGCTTGTAGATGAACAAGTTGCCATGTTTTTACACATACTAGCACATCATGTGAAGAATAGAGTAATACAATATAACTTTGGTAGATCGGGAGAAACTATTAGTAGGCATTTCAACTTAGTACTTACTAGTATGATGAGACTTAGAGATATGTTATTGAAGAAACCAGAGCCAGTGGTCGATGACTCTAGTGACGAAAGGTGGAAGTGGTTTAAGGTAAATATACATGTTATGTATTTATCATTATTTTTGAAAGTTGTGTGAACAATTTGTATTAACTTTTTTCTACATTTCTATTTTATAAAATTGTTTAGTCGCCTTGGATGGAACACACATCAAGTTAAGAGTTCCTTCTCTTGACAAGGCAAGATACCGGAATGGGAAAGGAGAGATAACTACAAATGTGTTAGGTGTTTGCTCACAAGATGGTTTCTTTATATATGTTTTGCCTGGGTGGGAATGGTCCACAGTAGATGGACGGGTTCTTCATGATGCCATAAGTAGAAGGAATGGCTTGAGAGTTCCAAAAGGTCACCATTACTTGGTTGATGCTGGTTACACCAACTGTAAGGGATTTCTTGCACCGTATAGAGGGCAAAGATACCACTTAAGTGAATGGAGAGAAGGGCAACATCCTAGAAGTGCACAAGAGTGCTTTAATATGAGACACTCTTCTGCACGAAATGTAATTGAGCAATGCTTTGGTATTTTGAAGTTAAGGTGGGCTATACTAAGAAGCACATCATTTTATCCCATTCAAACACATAACCGAGTTATAATTGCTTGTTGCCTTCTACACAACTTAATTCATCAAGAAGGTGTGGATCCACTTGAAAATGAAGTTTCAGAAATGGGTATTGATATGGACAGGATGGAAAACACCCTAATTCAAAACATAGATGCTTCTTATGAATGGGCTACCTTTAAGAATACTCTTGCTAATGAAATGTTCACTACTTTTTCTTCTAATAGGATATCTAGATGAATTAGGTATTTCATTTAAACATTATTGTTTGTTTGAATATGTCAATTTTCTTTGTTTCTTTAAGTGTAGTGTATGGTATGATAGAACATGTATTATTGTTATGTCCTTAATATATTGTCAAATTGTCTTATTGTTATTTAACCTCTTCTCAAGTTCTAACATTTTCTTCTTATAGTTGAACAAACATGTCAAGTAGGTCTAGAAAATTAGACAAGCACATGTGGACACCCAAAGAGGATGAATTATTAATTCAATCCATGATGGTGCTACATGATAAGGGAGAACTTGTATCTGACAATGGTTTAAGGCCACATGTCTTAAACACTTTGAAGGACATGCTTGATAGTTTGATACCTAGAAGTGGTATTAAGGCCCATCCCCATATTCAGTCAAGAGTCAAAAAGTTAAAAATTAATTATGGTGTGGTTTCTGACCTTTTCAATTTATCTGGTTTTAGTTGGGACCCTGAAAAGAAATGTGTGACAGCTCCTAAGACTGTTTGGGATGAATATGTGAAGGTAAACTGTTGCTGTTAGTTTCTGCTATTTCTGCTGTTTCTTTTTGTTGTTTATTTTTTTCTTGTTTTTATTGCTATTAGTTTCTGCGATTTCAATTTTTGCTGTTTATTTGTTTTTTTTTTGTTTTTATTGCTGTTAGTTTCTACTATTTCTTTCTGCTGTTTATTTGTTTTTTTCTAGTTTTTATTGCTGTTAGTTTTTACTGTTTCTTTCTGCTGTTTATTATTTTTTTCTTGTTTTTATTGCTGTTAGTTTCTGCTGTTTATTATTTTTTCTGGTTTTTATTGCTGTTAGTTTCTGCTGCTTCATTTTTTGCTGTTTATTTGTTTTTTTTCTGGTTTTTATTGTTGTTAGTTTCTGCTGTTTCAATTTTTGCTATTTCTTTTTGCTGTTTATTTTTTTTTGGTATTTATTGCTGTTAGTTTTTGCTGTTTCAATTTCTACTGTTTATTTGTTTTTTCTAGTTTTTATTGTTGTTAGTTTTTGTTGTTTCAATTTCTGCTGTTTATTTGTTTTTTCTGGTTTTTATTGCTGTTAGTTTCTGTTGTTTCAATTTCTGCTGCTTGTTTATGCTATTTCTGCTGTTAAATTGCTGATGTTTCTGTAATTTTTGCTTTTCCTGCTATTTCTTTTTTTTTTCTGTTGCAGGTAAACAAGAAAGCTGCTAAGTGGAGAAACAAGACTTTCCCCCATTATGATGAGCTATCTAATATCTTTGGGAAGGATAGGGCAAATGGAAAGGATGCTCAAACGTATGAAGATATCGTTAAAGAGTTTCATGATCAACATGGGTTTACTTCACCCATAGAAGATACTCCTATTGAGCACATTCTAACTGAATCTCAAATGGATGGATCACATGCCAATACTTCACCACAAGAGAACTCTCCAATTGAGCTATCCCCTTTTGATGCAACTTCCGGTGCGAAAAAGAGGAAGCGAAACAGCACTGAAGCTCAACCTTCCATGCTTGAAGGCATGAAAATGATTGTTCAAACACTAGCTGATGGGTTGTGTGAACACCATATTTTATCCGAGTATTTTTTAAATTTAATAATCAATAATTAAAAAATATAAAAATACAAAAATAAAATTTAATCCTTTTTTAGGATTATATTTAAAAAATAATAATTTTAACAAAATAAAAAAAAATCTTGTTTAAATCTTTTAAAATCTCTCCTAAATTATCTCAACCATTCAAAGATATTAGGAATCAATTTTTTTTTAGACTCAATTATTTTTAAAATTTCTCTCCTTAAATCTCTTTGTTCTCCATTTAAATATATATATATATATTTTTTTTAAAATTAAATTTTCCTTTCCCTCTTTTAATCTAATTAAAAAAAGCATTACAAAGAATGGCAAAAATGTTGGACATGCACATATGGAGCATGAGAAGCTTCACAGAGCAAGCAAACATAGAGCAGCAGACCGGGGAGAATCTTGCATGCACAGAGAACACGAAAACAAAAAACTAGAGTCACAAACAGCCACAGCACAAAAGAGAAATATAGAACATGAGTAGAAACGTAGAAAGCAAAATAGAGATGAAGGAACAGACAGCAAGAGCAGAAAGAAAACAGAAATAGAAGAAGTAGATGCGTGTGCTGAAAATACAGAAACAAATATGAAAAACACAGAGAAAGGTAGCCATGCAAAGACACACACTCACACAAACGGAATAGCAGAGAAATTAGACGTTACAGTAGGGAAAAAGTGAGAAGAAATAGAGCAGAAATGCAGCACCCATATGCTAGCTGAAACGAGCACAGAAAAATGCAGAAAAAGGCAAAACACACAGCCACACGAAAACAAAAAAGCAGAGCATAAAAGAAGAGGAAGACGTGAGGAAAAAAAACAGAGCATAAGAGATGGATTCGAGATGGAGAGAAAAAAGAGCCCGAGGATAATGATTGTGTCTTTGCCTAAAAATTTCTAAAACCTGTTGACTTCTTCAACCTTTATCACCCTTCTTCTCCCCTGATGCCAAGTGGGCAACTACAAAGCAAAAACTTGTTCCTTCAATTAACATGCTAACTGTGATGGAACCTTTGTTTCCTAAATAGCCTATTATGCCACATACTACTGAACAAAACTGTCACGTTTGAGATGCAGCACTTGTTGAGCAACTCCTGTCTCATCCACACACTAATGAATACTCCAACCATCTTCTTGCTTCCCAGCAACAAGTGCCTATTGTCTTCTTTCGGTTTGACATGTTGAGTCTTCCATTTTTCCGTCCCATGTGTTCCTACGTGGCTACTATAACTCCTCTTTCCAAAGATGCTATTCTCTTCATAGACATAGCTTTCACTTGGTGATGAATTTAGCATGGGTGTTAACCATGGACATCCATACTTGTCGTTCAAAGTTCTTCCTTTAAGCAGGTTCCGACTTGTTGCCACTGTTGGGTCTTCTGCTCCTATCACGGCCAATGTGTTCAGTGCATTCTTAAGATTCAACCACTCATCTAAATCTACGGCTAAGCTTCCTACTAGAGATCCTCTTGCAACGTTCCAAGCACCTACCAAGATTCTAAAATGGGCAAAAACTAAAAGACTTGGGAAATGTTCGAGATCTCAGCTTTTGGTTCTCTTCGTCCCTTACTCTGGTCATATGGTCCAGTCCATTCAGGCCACACCAATGATGAGAGGCAAGGTAACTAGCAAATTGCTAGAGTTGTGTCATACTAAGGGTGTGTCTGATGTGGTGTAGGCCATATTCTAGAACATGAAACTCAGAAGCAGCCTTCCATGTTTACTCCCATATGAACTTTCACTTCTGGAGCAGTCAGACATGGAAGATGAATAATATGAATCAGAAGAGCGGTGGTGCCTACGACGTTGCTTGGAGTGGGATTTACTCTTTTTTTAGACCTTTAGGGCTTCTTTATCTCGATGCGACTTGAGTATGCTCTTTCTTGCTTAAAATTTTGTACTTCTTTTAAAATTTCATATGCCTGCTTCATTCATTCAAATGATCATATTATTTTGAGAAAATTAAGAGTATGCATATGTCTAATATGGGACTATTGTTTATTCACAAATAATTTTAAGACATCAACCTCATTTTGATTTTCATGGGAAATAAATTAGGTAATTAATGATGGCGATGGTATGTGGACCTTGTTAATTTTAATTGTTGGATGCCATTACCACTACTCTCATCATTTTCTTTCAAAATTCATACCTGAGTATTAAACCAATTTAAAAAATCTTGAGGTACATATCTTTAAGTCAAAAGAATAGTGAATTGTTAAAATAGTTTATTTATCTATTCTTTCCATGGCCTTTATTGCATGAATTGTTCAGCTAACCACAATATTATACACCAACTACAAATGTAAATATTTTGGTTATCTATTTGTCATGTGAGATTTTAAGAATATCTGTAGGCATTTAGAATGATTTCATACCGTGTAAATCAATAAGATTTTGCAGGTATGAGAATCAATCTTATAATAAATATTTAAGTCTCATGTGAGATTTTAAGAATCTTTGTAGAGACTTAAATTAATCATATCATCATATGGGATAATATATCCTCATAGATATCGTGATTCTCAATTTGTATATGTTACATAAATGAATTTTGTAAATAAAAGAAAAAACATTTTTATAATTTTAATTAATTAAATTAATAAATTTAAATTATAATTATATTTATCAATTATATCTTTTGGTCATGTGAGAGTTTTGAAACTCGGTGGACCTTTAAGATAATCGTACTATCGCATGAGTCAATAAGGCTTCGCAAGTATAACAATTAAGATTTCTATATTAAAAAATATGTGTCATATAATTACACATTAAAATATATTCAAAGTGAATATTATTTAATCCTTTTATCGTGTGAGACTTTTAATCTCCACAGGTATTGAGGATAATCTCGTATTGTGTGAATGAATAAGATTTTGCATATATGAGAGCAAAACTTATATGTTAAAATTAACTCTCCTTTTATAATCCAAATTAATAATTTATTTAAGTCTCATGTGAGATTTCAAGAATCTTCATAGAGATTTAAATTAATCACCTCATAGTGTGGGATAATAAGTTCTCGCATATATAGTGATTCTTAATTTCTATAATAAATAAATGACTTTTGTAAATAATCATAATACACAATTTAGAAAATTAATTAACCAAATTAATGCATTTAAATTGTAATCATATTTACCAATGATATCTTTTAGTCATGTGAGATTTTTGAAGCTCCGTAGACTTTTAAGATAATCATATTATCACATGAGTCAATAAGACTTTGCAGATATAATGATTAAGTTTTTAAAATATATATTAAATTAATTAAACTAAAGGATGTATTTAAATAAATTTAATTCCTTTATTGTGTGAGATTTTAAAATCTCCATAGATATTTAGGATAAATCATATTACCGTATAAGCCAATAAGGCTATGCAGGTATGATGATTAAAATTCTTTAAAAACATGTACATGCATACTTAAATAAATTATTACTAGCATTTAAAAATAAATAAATTAAATTGTTAAATTCTTTTATCATGTGAGATTTCAGAATCTTTGCAGATATTTAGAACAACTGCATTACCGTATAAGCTAATAAGGCTCTGCAGGTATAGTAGTTAAAATTCTTAATCATAAAAAAAAGAAAAATAATTTAAAACCCTTTTCTTTTCTTTAATTTGAAATTCAAAAATTGAGAAAATAATTAAAATTAAATTACTTCTTGCAATTTAAAACACACATATCAAAATTTCAGAAATTGTTTTATTTACAAAATGGTGAGTTATTTCTAATTAATTTCTCTTCAAAAATATTTTCACCAATAATTTTCAAGCACGAACTATGTGAACTTTGATCCCCATCACAGGGTACGTAGGCCTCAGAGTCAGATTCTGAATCAAGTCCCCCCTCTTAAATAAATAAACATTTCTCACCTAATTCTTATCATTTTTATATCAAACACATGAATATAAATGGGATAATTAAAATAATTATAAAACTATATTAATAGAGCACAACAAACTTTAGATAACCGTTCTGACGAATGAGTGTTGTGGGGTTCCTAACACCTTCCCCATACTCAATCAATTCTCGAACATATTCTCTGATTTCACAGACCACCCTTATCCTCCATTAATCGGTTTCTTGAGATTTACCTCAAAATCTTGGTGGTGACTCCTCATTCCGTCCAGTTCCTGCCGCAAAGGCCAGGACCTCTGCTCACTCGCCGTCCGCATTACATTTTTTTTTAGGTGCAATAGGTTGAAGGAGTCATCTAAGCATTTTGGCATGCACCTTGATAGAGTTGAACGTGAGAAATGTATTGATGGCATGAGGTCGTATCTTCTTGTTGAGTTGAAGAAGGTTGAAGGACTTTCCTACCAAGAACGTCTCAAGGCATATGTGAAGATTATTGGTGATGAGAATATGCTGATTGGCTTTTATTCCATGCCTAAAGAGGACAAAGTTGATGTGATTCGCGAAATAATATCATAAGCTAGTATTGATGTCACTTGATATTTTGGTGTATCTTCATTTTTTGGTGATCCTTAGTAATGTTGCAAGAGGATCCTTCATATGTAATGTCATGTTTAGATGTCTAATTTTTTGTGTAAGATATGGCATATCTTACTTGGGTGCTTGGATATATGAGTAGCACCATTGACTATATTTTGTTTCAAAGGAAGATATGGAGTATCTTGCTTCCTTGACCTTATTAATTATGATGTGATAAATGACATCCTTTCTTTCATGTTTTTTAGAGCATCTCTTAGAAGTTTATATAATAGAAGTATATATACAAGTACGTGTTTGTGTAGATTGAGTCATGCTTCATGAATTATAAATTTAAAGCCTTTAAAGATAAACATGTCTTGGTATTATCATGTGTCCTTGCCCATATGCTTAATTTGATCATGAAGTTAAAACTTGGTTCCTTGCCCATATGAAAATGCCATCAAATGAAAGAATTTGATTAGGAATTCTACCAGTTAGGGGGGAAGTTCTGATCAAAATATTGCAGAATTTGATTTTATTGTATAACAACAATATTGAAATTTTCATTTTTGAATGTTAATTATGAGGTGGACGAAGAGATGATCAGAAGGGTGTGAACAGATAAATGGTAGGGCTAAGAAACATATGGAGTACGTTTAATGAGAAATTAATGACATGGCATGGAAAACCTGTGTGCATGCTGACATATTTTCTTTTCTTTTTCTTCCTGCTGCTCGAGAATTCAAATCGATCATTACTATTAATATTTAATGCTACTGCTCAAAGCCCCATCATTCATATTAGTATACTCAATCTGAATATATCTATACCAATGATATGATTAAGTATATTTAAATGCATTCAGAATCAGCTGGTATGCAATACATGTAATAATATATACTATTAATATTAATTAATAATAATAATAATAATTAATAATGGGGTAGAGGAAGCATCAATTTGTTGAATAAATAAAGTGAATGGCATCTTAGCAGAGACGTGTTTGACCAAAAATGCATCAATCAAACTGATGCAGCATAAAACTTGGAAAATAGAGAAGCTAATATCTTCAAATTCAAACTTACATTTAAAGATCCATGGCTGTTATAACTACTTGCAAAATTTAAATGCTAGATTGGAGCAGAATCAGAGATATAACCACTAGATTAGAGCCATATAGATACATACTTCATAAATAAATCTAAATGCTATATTATATATATATACATACAGCTCGTTTAATTTAGATGAGATCAAGTCAATAAACAATACAACAACTTCATGTATTTTTGCAGGAGCTTTTTATGGAAGTCCTTCCTTGACTGGGTGTCTTGGTTTCTCCTCGTGCTTGGTTTCAATTTAGATTTCACACCTTTTTACATTAAAAGATGTTGTCATTGGGTTATTTAGCAATATGTTTCTAGCAAAAGCTCTGCCTCTTTTACTTTCAACTCTAAGAGACATTAGAAGAAATTGACCTACCTGGTATTGATGAATGAAGCTGACAAAGCACAGAAGGGATTATTTCTAAAGATATTAAATGTGATCAACATAAAAGGAACCATAAGCACATAGCACAATTAAAGGTCTATAGATTCAGCACTACCTGATCCTTCATTTTGTCTGGTTCAGCTGCTACCTCTTCTGCATCTTTTAGAATACTCAGCAACTTAGTACAATCTTAGAAACATAGGCAGTGAAATTATGAATTCACATAAATAAACCTATGCACACAAGATAAATAGTAGAACGTAAATATGTTTTCACTTTTTAGGTATCAAGCAGGCATTTTATCCCAACCAATTCAAGAAAACAAAAAAGAAAGACTACCAGCAGCACACCATAGTGAGACAAAAAGAAGATTTTAGTCACTTTTAGGTAGCTTACTATAGTATTAGTCCAAGTTAATTAAATATTTGATCAATCTTTTCATCAGAAAATTTCTTATTTAGATCTAGAATGAGCCAGAGAAGAACCTGATAAGCTGCAATTGGCAAAGGAGAATTAGCCCTAAGCAACCTTATGATATCCAAATAAGGAAGACCAGGTTTCACCTGCAGATCTATTTTATTTTCCACGTTTGAGAGGTTACAAAAAGAGTATGTGATATGTTGTATAGATAGATACATCAACCAACCAAGAGGATATCTACTTCTTCAAATTCACCTTCCCTCATCTCAATTAAAGCCTCTCTGTAATTTGCAGGATTCATCTAATAACTTTACGTTGGCTAG